TCAGCTTCTAAGAAGAAAAGATCCTAACAAGAGGATTTTTCATAAAAGATGTCTGTGCCAACCGCACACCACACTACACCACACCAAACCACACCACACTACACCCTTCTCATGTCATGGACATATTTTTTTATGAAAAATCCTTTCTTTAGGATTTTTCCTCTTGAGAAGCTGAAAGGCCTCAGGAACAAAATGTAAACAATGGTTATCTGCTGCTGTGGAATGCAACAGGTGGATCTGTGATTGGTCTCTTGCGGTTGTTTGTAATTAATGGCCAAGCACAGTGAGCTGGATTGGACAAAGAGTCCGAGCCACAAACCTTTGTTATCATTCCTTCTGATTCTATTCTTAGCTAGCCTTCTGATGAAATCCTTTCTTCTATTCTTTTAGTACAGTTTTAATATAATATATATAATAAAATAATAAATCAGCCTTCTGAAACATGGCGTCAGATCCTCGTCTCTTCCCTCTTCCTTGGACCCCTGTGAACACGGTCACATGCAGTGTAGTTTGGTATGGTGTGGTGTGGTCTGGACTGGCTTCCACCACAAACACCTGAGAAATCCAGCAACTTCCCACTCCTTCCCAAACTCCTACACTACCCCTACTAGATCTCATTCTGGCCACAACCACAAGATCCGCCCAATTCGGCCTCCACCCATGACTCCCAGCTGCTATAGAAGGACCAACCCCCGTATCCGCCCTACTCCACTCCAGCACAATAGTAGTAGCCAGAATAGTCCGGTGTAGTGTGGTGTGTGGTTTGGTGTGGTGTGGTTTGGTGTGGTGGTACTGTGCCAAGAAGAGCTCAGGGGAGGATGAGGGCAGTCACCTCCTCTGGACCCCCCTGAGCTGAGCTTCACCCTGTGTGTTTCACAACACCAAGGACCAAGCCCACATGACCTGTAGTAGGGACTGCTTTTATCCTGCCCTTCACTTTGGGCGAATTTCCCTTTATTTCCCAAACGCTGACAGATCTGCTTTTCACTTCTCTGGCTCATGAGAAGTGATAAGAAGTTTTTCAGTGGGAAGTGTGGAGTTCCAGGAGATGGCCCAGCTTTGAGAGCACTTCCTGAGTGTGGTGTGGTGTGGGTTGGTGTGATGCGCTGTGGTTTGGTGAGGTGTGCTGTGGTTTGGTGATGTGTGGTGTGGTTTGGTTTGGTGTGGTGTGGTTTGGTGTAGTGTGGTGATCGTTGGTGTGGTTCGGTGTGGCGATGTGTGGTGTGGTGATCGTTGGTGTGGTTTGGTGTGTGGTGCAGCCTGCATTGCCCACGGTGTCGCGCTGCCTTGCAGGGCATGGGCTCCCTGAGCGAAAGCTCCATCCCCTCCATCTCGGACACCAGCACTCCCCGGCGAGGCCGCCGCCAGCTGCCGCCGGTGCCCCCCAAGCCGCGTCCCCTGCTGTCCTACGCCTCCATGCTGCGGCACGCCGGGGACACCTCTCCGCCGGCCGACGAGAGCGAGGGCGGCTCTCCGCTGCTCTCCTCCAGCCTGGATCCCAGCGCGGCCGGCCCGGCGGAACCTTCCAGCTCTCCGGCGGGCAAGCAGAGCCGGCAGTCCACGCCGCAGCGCTACATCTCGGAGCCCTACCTGGCGCTGCACGACGACTCGCACGCCTCAGACTGCGGTGAGGAGGAGACGCTCACCTTCGAGGCGGCCGTGGCCACCAGCCTGGGCCGCTCCAACACCATCGGCTCGGCGCCGCCGCTGCGGCACGGCTGGCAGATGCCCAACGGGCACTACCGGCGGCGGCGGCGAGGCGCGGCGCAAGGCGTCATGTGCGGGGCCAGCATCGACGTGCTCAGCGACACCGAGGAAGACGACAAGTGCTAGAAGCTGCCCCTCTGTCCCCCCGAGCCTCAAACCCGCGCCCCGACCTCGCCTCGGCTGCCCCCCGTCCATCCCGCCCTGCCCTTCTCCGATGCATGCTCTTCGCCGCGCCTGGGAATGAAACTGAAAAACCAAAACCAAACGCAGGGGGAAAAAATAAAAAAACAAAACAAAGCAAAACAAAACAACCAAGCAAACAAAAAAAGCCCCCACCCCAAACCGACCGGAAGGAGAGAAAAAAAACAAAACCACAATGAAAAAGAAAAGGGGGAAAAAAGTCTTTGTGCAAAAAAAAAATTAAAATCTGTTGAGTTTCGGTTATTATTATCATTTTTTTTTTCTGCACAGAGAAGCATTTGATGGGCAGCAGAGCAGCCCGGCCGGGTTGGTGTGCTGGGGGACAAGGGACAGTCCCCCCCCGGCCGCAGCCCCGCTCCCTGCCCCGAGAGGATCCCCGGGAAAGCTCATCCCGAGGGATTTTCTGCTCCCTATGGCCGGAGAGTCCCAGCAAAGGGATGCACGGGACGCACCCCCTTTGCTCTGTCGCTTGGGCTTGTGCTGCTGTGGCTTTGCACTTCCCTCCCGAGGGTCTCATCCTGCCTGGAAAAGGGGCAGGATGCGACCGTGCGGGCAGGGACGAGGGGCTGGGATACACCCAGACAGAGCAGAGCAGCTGTGGCTGCCAGACGGGGCAGAACTGGTTTGTACTGGGGGTGGGGGGCTCAGTGCTGCCGGATGTACCCTGTGTCCCACCGACACATATTTATTTATATACGGAGAACTCTAGGTGTGCCTGTGTGTGTATATAACGGGGTGTGTGTGTGTATATATATTTATATGCTGTATATATAAAGATATACACATACATAGATTTGTTTTAATCACCTGACAATGCTGGCCAGCCCCTTGGGGCTCCTGCTGCCTGCTTTGGTGGGGGCAGGACTGAGCCTCCCCTGGGGGACTGCTGTACAGAGAATTGGGAATGTCACCTTGCTCCCTTCTCCCAGGTGTTTCCAGCGCTGGGAATTGCATTTTCTCTCTCAGAGACGGCTGTGGCGAGGGCTCCTTGGGCAGCTCGGTGCCTGCAGGAGGGGGATGCCCAAGGGATGAGGACAGCGCTGTCCCAGGGAGAAGGCAGTGCCGAGGGGGTGATGGCAAACCTCTCTCTCAGAGGCCTCTTTGCTTGTTTTCCCAGGAAAAGAAGAAATCCATGTCTGCAGGGGAGTGAAGAAGTTGTGAGTGCATGATGTACCTTTAAGATCTTTTCTCCGGGCACAGGCATTGGGGTTTGGCACCAGCCCTGCCTCAGTTTCCCCTGCAGCCATGGCCTGTGCCCTCTCTGGGGGCTGCCATGGGGGGCTGGCTGTGCAAACTCCATGGCCCCGGTGTGGGAGCAGGAGGGTGCCCAAGAGCTGGGGAGACTTTGGGAAGGAGCATTGTCCTGAGCAGGGAGGCTCAGCCCTCCTGCAACCCCTGACAGTGCAGAACAGGGCGACCCTCCAGCTCCAGTCATTAATTAATCTGCTAATTAAGTGCTGTCAGCTCTCAAGGATCCACGCAGTGGGTGCAGTGCTGTGCCCAGGGAGTTCTACTGGTGGCCCGAGGTGATGGGTGGCTCACCCTGGTGACCAGTGCTGTGTTTCTGCTGTGAGCTGTGTCTGGTGTCAGCCCCAGCGTGGTCTGGGGAGCTGGAGGGTGCTGTGCCTTTGGAGCCTCAGGGAAGGGTTTGTCCTGAGGGCTGGAGAATGCTCAGTGTGTTTGGGCCAGGTGTGGTGGCCCTGGGTGGAGATGGGACCTGGGGATGAGCAGGTGAAGGCAGCACAGCCCTCACCCTGCCCTTCCTCCTGCCCACGGCTTTGCTTTGCTGCAGGTTGTTGTGGTCTGGGTCTCTGGGGCTGTTCTCCAGCTGAGCAGCAGCTCTGGCCTGGCTTTGCTTCGGTCCTGGATAGCTCATGCCTTCTCCTGATGGAAGGATGCACCAAGTGCCCTGTTCCTGCATGTGCACACCATGCCCTGACCGCTTTGTGAGCTCCCTGAGGGAGCTCTGCTTTGTGAGAAGCAAATCCCAGTGGCTCTGAAGGCTTCCAGCTCCAGGGCTTGTGCATGGACCAAACCCCCCCTTTCCCATGGCCAAAGTGCCCCCTGTGCCCCTTTTAGAGGGCCCAAAGCTCCTCCTGCCTCCAGCGGCCCCTGATGCTGGGGGACCCCTCTGCTGCTTCCCAAACCTGCCCGGGGATCCAAAAACTCCACAGGCTCAGATCCTGCATATCCCCCTCTGTCTCCATGGGACAAACCCTGTCCCGTGCAGCCCTGGGGAAGGTCCCTGCTGGTGGCTGGGGACACGGGCACCTCCTGTCCCGTTCCAGCCATCCATGAGCCGTTCGTGGCTTCACCCCGAAGCCTGCGGAGCTCTGGGATTTGGGAGAGCCGGGTCTGGCCGGGGACAGGCGAAGGCGATGCCGTACCTGCTCTAAATATAGGTGTCGGTATCGTCTCCTTCTAAATGCGGAAAGGTGTCTGACAATGCGCCGGGCTCTGAGTAAGAGCCCGCGGAGGGGAGGGAGGGTAGGAGGAGGCGGCTTTTTGTGTCTGTGCCTGGCGGGTGGGAGGGAGGCAGCGATGCTCTCCGAGCGGGGGCACCTTCCATGCGGATTTCCAGCTTTTTGGGCGCTTTTCTTTCCCCCAGCCCCGGACATTGGGCCGGCAAGCGGTGCTGGTGCTGGTGGCACAGGATGGGGCACAGCCACCGCCCGAACCGCAGCTCTTTGGCATGTCAGCCCTGTGTTCAGCTAACGTACAGACACTGTGTGCCACACAACACAGCCCCTTTTCGCCCGGAAAGGGCCCGAAACCGCCCCGTTCTTCCTCTCCCGGAGCAGCCACAGCGCTGGGGACAGGCCGGGGACACGGTGGCACCTCCACAGCGCGTCTCTGAAACCAAAAACACCCCCCGGGAGAACCACGGGAGAGCCGAGGGGGGAACCGAACCGGCCCCGAGGCACCACTGCAGCCCGTGCCTTGCTTTTCAAGGCGCTGGACTGGGCTTTGCCGCTGTGCAACCTCTCCTCTGTGGAATTCGGGACATTTCTGCGGCCTCCCGGACACCAGGACTGTGCCACTCGGAGGCAGGATGGGCACGGAGGGATGGATTTCAATCTCTGCCTGCAGGCAGGAGTTCACCAGGGGCGTGCAACTGGTTCCCAGTTGGGCGCTGGGACTGGATTGGAAGCCCTGCACATCTCCTGGGGGGGCTGTGTGAGGAGGGGTGGCAGCCCTGGCACACAGAGCCCAGCTGTGCCATCCTCCTGTCCCCCCAGGCGTGGGGCTGGTGTCTCTCCTGGGGAGGGAGGGTGGGTGAGAGATGCTCTGCCTTCATCCCCCAGGCTCTGGGGTGGGATGTTGTAACATAAAGCTGCTCGTTGGGACCCGAACGGGGAACCGAGCTGACCACCAACAATGTACAACTCCTCAATGTTTTTTGTCAAAAGGAAAGAAAAATAAAACCTTGTTGTAAAGAAGCGCTGCAGGCTTGGTCTCATTGGCACTCCCATGTGCTAGGAGGGCTGTGGGGACTCTGGGTATTGTCATGGACCCCCAAAAATGTCCCCATGGCAGGGAGGGGGAGGCACAGAGCCTGTGCTGGCACTGCCATCATGTGGGGGGCTCTGGAGAAGAGGGGCAGGGAGGATATTTGAGATGTCCTGGGCTAGCTGGGGCTCAGACCTGGCTGATCCAGGTGCTGGGCTCTGTGGGAGCTGGGAGGGCCAGGGCCAGGAGCCTGAGGAGCTGTTGGTGGTGGCACTGCAGCAAAGTGGCCAGGGGAAGCCAAGGGCGTCACGGTGACATGGGCGGCATGGTGTCACTGCAGGAATGGTGTCACTTTGGATGCCCCCCCCGTGCCTTGGGGGCATCCAAAGAGCTTGGCCACCCCTCCATGCCTGCACTCCAGAGATGCCAGGAGGTTGCAGATGCTGTTGCCTGCTCCAAAGCTTGTGGGTGAGTTGTCAAGCAAAGATGCTGAAGTCACATCTTCCTTTTTTTTTTGTTAAAGCATGAAAAGCTCTCCGGCAGCCAGAGGTGAGGCAGCAGCCTGTGGCAGCCTCCAGGCTGAGCTGGGGTGACAGGGATGCTTTGTGGCTTCTCAAGAGCACTCTCCTTCTTTCCCTGTACTGTGCCAAGAAGAGCTCAGGGGAGGATGAGGGCAGTCACCTCCTCTGGACCCCCCTGAGCTGAGCTTCACCCTGTGTGTTTCACAACACCAAGGACCAAGCCCACATGACCTGTGGTAGGGACTGCTTTTATCCTGCCCTTCACTTTGGGCGAATTTCCCTTTATTTCCCAAACGCTGACAGATCTGCTTTTCACTTCTCTGGCTCATGAAGTGATAAGAAGTTTTTTCAGTGGGAAGTGTGGAGTTCCAGGAGATGGCCCAGCTTTGAGAGCACTTCCCGAGGCGATGAATGCAGTGACAGCCCAGCAGTTTTTCCAGGCTGGGAAGTGAGTTCCCATTTTATAGCCAAAAAAGTGATCTGCAGTCCTGACTGTGGGGAGGCTCTGCAGGGTGGTGATGCCACCTTCAGCTCTGAGGCCTTTGCAGCGCTGTTGGAAGCAGTTTGAGGGGAGGATGAACTCCTGTGTGGGCCAGAAGTGCTGCATTAACATTCCTCAAAGTGCTGTTTTAAGTATAAGCTGTCCCAAAAGCTCTGAAAACCTTTGGAGTGCGATGGACATCCCATGGAACCCCACCTTGCATGAGTGGTGGATGCAGCTGCTTGAGTGCATGACCACCTCCAGCACATTTCCCCAAATCCCCTAAAAATATCTGGGGCCGTGGAGAAGACACCCAGAGCAGTGCAGAGGCAGAGCTTCCCCCTCACAAGGGAAACTGGTGCTGCAAAAAGGGGGGCCTTGGCTGTGGGAGAGCCAGAGCTCTGCCTGGCAGGCACAGAGGCTAAAAAAAGCCCCTTGACAAATGGAACAGAAAGGTTAAAATTATCTGTACATCATCTGAATAACAATGGCGATGCAGATTGTACCTGCTTATAATAGCTCCGGGAGACAGGGGATAAATTGGGAACAAAAGTACCCCAGAAACAGATGCGGCTGCCAGAAGTGCTGGGACTGCTCCTCCTTGAGGAGCCACTGGGGGCAGGGCCACCAGAGCCCAAAATCCTGCTCTGGGAGTGCTCCAGGACATTTCCAAGCCCCTGTCCCAGCCCAGGCTCCCATGGGAGCAATCCCAGCCCCCGGTACTGCATGGCCTGGGGGACATGAACAGTCCATGGCACAGCTGCACATCATCACCCCCTAAGCTGGGCCTTCCTTCTGGGAAAAGAAGGATGGATTCCTCATCCTGCTGGATTGTTTTTCTCTGTCTCTGCTCTGCTTTCCCTCCTGCACAGCCAAATGAGAGCCCATGGCTCAGGGTGTGTCTGTAGCTCTGCAGGCACAGCCACTTCTCTAAAGGATTCCTGGATTAGTTTACAGGCAGGATGTCAGCAATTGTGCATCCCTGCAAGGGAAGCCTGGCTCTGGTCCTTTGGTCAAACATCTGCTCACTCCTCCAGCAAAACAAGGGACACTTGGCCGTGAGGCTGCTGCAGCCAAACCCAAACCTCTGGGGGTGCAAAGGACAAGAGGAGAGGGCAGGAACTTGAAATAATGAACCATTTTCTCTTCCTTTTCCCCATCCTAGTGAGGTGTTTCAATTCCATGGGTTCAGGGAGGAGCAGGGCAGGGTTTGCTCCTGCTGGGGGCACAGCTGATAGCTCGGATCTCGGATCAGAGCCGCCTCCTTCCCTTCCCTTTCCTTCCTCTGGTGGCACTTCCAGCACACCGAGGATGTGCGTGGGCTCTGAAGAGGGGCTGGTGCTTACTCACAGCGGCAGCCACGTGGAGCTGCCGGCTCGTGGGCTGCCGGCACTGGCAGTTCCTTGGGACAGCCTTCCCCCGTGCCAGGAGCATCCCCCACAGGTGAGCATCCCCCCGTGCCTGCCTGCAACATTTACCTGTTGTCTTACTATTATCATTATAGTGCAAGGAGTCCATATCACCAGAGTTTCACACCTCCTCGATGTTTTGCACAGGCATCTCCTCTAAGCACTGACTGTTCCTGGTCCTTGCAGCAGCCATCTGACTCCAGATTGCTACCAATCCACTCTTTTATACCACTGTTCTTATTGGCTACAGGTGTGGCCTGTTAAGATCAGGCCTGGTCCTAATCTTTAGCAATTGGTGCAGCTGCAACTCTTCAGGGGATAAGATTACATTCTATACCACATTCATTTACCCATACTGTGTCCCCCTACATCTACCCACTAAGGCCAGAGGTGTGTGTCCAAAAAGGAGACAGAGGAGTCCTGTACATTTATAGGAAAAAAGGGAGAGGTCATGGGTATTTCCCATGGGGTCTCTCAAATTTTCAGAGGACTCAGCTTCCTTTTTATCCCGGTTTCCCTCTCTCTTTCTCCATTGGCTGAGCTACTTGAGAGGTACAGCTTTCCCAAAATGCCTACTGCCTAAGACCCCCCTTCTAATGCACACCTGCCCTTTTCCTTTCCTTGTGTCAACCAGTGGAATTCCTATGGAATTTATGGTTCTTCCCATTGTTCCTTTCACCTCTCTGTATCTAACTTTACTTATCAGCAGACCCACAGCTTGTTTGTAAATACAAATCTCCCTCATTCCATTCATGGAACAGTGGAATCCTTCCCATTCTTTATTTTATCTCTCAGTGCTGGTTTTACCTACCAGCAGACCCAGAGCTTGCTTGTAAAGACAAATCTCCCATTCCTCTCACTCCCACAGGTGAGCATCCCCCTATAGATGAGCACCCAGCTGCCAAACCATCCCATACAAACCCTGCTCCTTTTCCCTGTGTTGCCCACAGGAATTGTCCTCCCTGAAGGGCTGGAACAGCCTGGCCTGGCTCAGCACCTCTATTTTTTGTTCTTCTCATTTGTTTCTGTCTCCTGGCACTGCTCTGCCTTGCTCAAAGGTGTAGCTCTGCACATCTGCGCTGTGTTTGCCAGACACCATGGGGAGCAGGTGAAATCCCATGGAATTTCCTGCAAACTGACCCCTAGCCATGCACAGGAGAGCCAGCTGACTCCCAGGAGGTTTTTTGGGAGCTCTTTTGTGTCACCTTTTGGCTGTATAGGGAGCAAGGGGACAGGCAGGGCTGAGCTCGCCTGCTCTCGCAATCCCATCTCCTGCTGGAGCTCCACTGAGCAGGAAGGAGCCCACTGCTCATTTGACTTTGCTATTTCTGTGTGGATCATTAAAAATAACCCCAAACCAACACAATTCTGGCTTCTAAACGGATGCCAAAACAGCACGGATTGCTCTCCTTCCCCAGCTGGCGCCTCCCTGTCCCCACGGCAGGGTGTCCCTGGCACGGGGCAGTGGGATGCTGGGAGGGCTGCGCGAGTGGGTGGAAACCATTTTGGCTGCAAATCGCCCCAAAGCACGCTCTGTGCTCAGCTCAGAGGCACTGCAGGGCTGAGCTGGCTGTCCCTGGGTGTCCCTGCAGTGTCCCAGTGCACGGATGGAGCTGCCACAGGGACCCTGGCACAGAGGTGACACCCCCAGCAGTGGTGCCAGTGATGCTTGGGGTGCAAGGCAGAGGGATCAGGGACAAGGATGGGTTATCTTCTAAAGCCAGACCTAGGCCAGACACTCTCTCTGCCTCCCACACACCCTCCCCAGGGACTCAGTGAATTTATGGAGCACTCTGCCACAGATGATGTGAGCTTCAGATTGATTTTCGCAGATCCACAGAATCACCGCCATCGTGAATGATGTGAGGAGTTGGGGTTTTTTGGGTATTTTTTTCCTTTCCTAAAGAGGAAGAGCAGAGAAGAAAATAAATCCAGGGTTATATTTCCCAGCAAAGTTTAATCCTATGGCATCAGGGCAAATAAGGGGGGTTTGTGCATCTCTGGGTGAGGGATGCAGTGTGCAGCACCATCAGCCAGAGCCACGAGTCCCTCCCCCTTCCCTTGGCCTCTGAAATGTTGAGAGGGGCCTACAAATACCCTTTATAGTAATTTACTTCAGGGAAATGCAGTCAAGCTTATTTTGGGGGGTTTTTTGTTTGTTTGGGTTTTTTTTTAATTTTTTTGGGTTTTTTTTGTTTCATTTCAGGTTTTTTTGTTTTCGTTTTTAAATTTCATTTCAGTTTTCCCTCACTGATAGAAGGGGGGGCCCCCATTTCCACAGCCATAGGTTTTCCAGCACTTGTCCCAGCCTGACCCCCTCTTCTATATAATAATTCACTTTAGGGAAGTAAATATCCTTTATAATAATTATATCCTTTATAATATTTTACTTCAGGGAAGTGCAATCAAGCTTATTTTCTGGGGTTTTGTGGGTGGGGGTTGGGTGGGGTTTTTTTGGGGTTTTTTGTTTTCTTATAGTTTTGTTTTCATTTTAAAATTTTATTTCATTTTTTCCCTCGCTGATCAAAGGGTGGCCCCCATTTCCACGGCCATAGGTTTTTCCAGCGCTTGTCCCAGCC